ATCCTGGGACTACAAGTGTTTTGTTTTGTTTTGTTTTTCATTCTATTACATTGCTCCTCAATTTCAAACTCAGTTCAGTGCTCTTTCCACATACCTGGCTGCCAATAAAAGCTCAAATATCACTTAAGAGGCTTACCAGGTTTATTAGGTGGTGCAGTGGATAGAGCACCAATCCTGGAGTCGGAGGACCTGAGTTCAAATCTGGTCTCAGACTCTTACTAGCTTCGTGACCCTGGGCAAGTCATTTAACCCTGATTGCCCCCCAAAAACCAAAAAGTTTCCCCAAGCCACGGGCCTATACCTTTCCTCCTTTTTCCAGCTATTCTTCTAGGAGAAACCTCCATTCCTTACTTCTACTTCTTTTCCCATGGGGTTCGGTTATCATCGCTACGTAGACGACTCCTCAGATCTACACATCCAGGCCTAGACTCCAACCTGAGCTCTGGTCCTATATCACCAACTGGCTATCGCACACCTCCAGCTAGGCACCCCAAAGGCAGCTCAGGGCCTGGCACATAGTAGGCTTTTCATAAACCACTTGTTGGACTGAATTGAGTGGTGGTGGTGGTAATGATGGAATGCTCTTCCCATGACCCTTCAAACCCCCTAGACACACCCAAGGGGTGTTTACTTCTTTGACATTTGATCTAAGATCAGAAATGAGACTGAAGATTTTTGAGTAATAACCTCAAAACCTAAGTTAGCTCCACAAAAAAAGGAGAAAAAATTATCAATTCGGAGAGAAAAATATTGTGAAGATCAGAAGCACTTAAAAGTCTAGATTGACAGTGATTTCTGGTATATTTTGGAAAGACCTAAAATGTTTGACTATTTGAAAATTAAAAGCTTCGATGTTACTTTTATAGGGGCCTATAGGGGCCTGTGGGGCCTTTTCCGCTGGAAAAAGTGCTTTGTTATAGTCCCTTTTTTCTGAGGGAGATCAGAGTGTCTCTTATACTTTTTTTAGACAAGCTTCTTTTCCAAATGGCTGCATTTCAAAACAAATCACTGAAGCGGTCCTGAGCCTACTCTGAGTCAGAAAGTAGTTAGCAGACTCTCCCTCGTCCCACATGGTGAATCTGGCAGCTTCTACACTGGTGATGCTTCTTAGGCCTTCTTCCTCCTCACCCCTCACACAGCCCTCATCCTCTCCTGCCTGGATTATTTCAGGGAACTTTTAGCTGGTTTTCATGCCTCCAGTCTTTGCTCTGTGCTCTCCATTCTCCACTTAGTTACCAAAGGGATTTTCCTTAAGCCTGGGTCTGACCGATTTCCTCTCACAATCAACAAACTCCAAAGACTCCCTATTGCTAATAGAATAACTCTTCTGTTTTAAAAGTCAAAAAAGGCTGGGGCAGCTGGATGGTGCAGTGGCTAGAGCACCAGCCCTAGAGTCAAGAAGACCTGAGTTTAAACTTGGACTCAGACATTTACTAGCTGTGTGACCCTGGGCAAGTCAGTTAATCCCAATTGCCATTAATTAATTAACTAATTAATCAAATGAATGAATAAATAAATGAAAACCAAACAACCTGTTGCTGACCTGCCTTTCCATACTAACTCTAAGTTATTCTCCCTCCCAAACTGGCCTTCTTGCTACCCCTCACACATCCTACTCCATTTCCTACGTTGGTTTCTTTGCATAGGCCATTCTTCATACCAGGAATTGCAATCACACCATCCTTTAGTTGTTGTTGTTTTTTCAAAATTTAGTTCAAATATTCCATGGACCCCCAACTACTAATGTTCTGCCTCCCTACACCACTTTTTATCTGTTTTTATTTTTTCTGTATACAAATGCATACATACATACACACATACACACATACACACTTCTAACCCTAATTCTGTTTCCAGTCTAATTCTGAGGTATATCTTCACTGACCCCCCTTAATACAGTGTGTCTCAAGAGGAGATGGTGTCTATTTTTTTTAATCCTTTTGTACCTAGCAAAGTATTTAATTCATGCAAGCATTCATTGATTCATTCATTCATTGATCAGTAAAGACATTTTTAAAATAGGTGAATTTGAATTCTGGCTCTGCTGATTACTACCTACATATCCTTGGGGAAGTAATTTAACTTCTCTAGGATTCATCTCCTTTAAAAGGAAGAGGTTGACTAGATGACATGGATGGTCATTTCTAGCTCTAACATGGAGGACCCTATGATTCCCTCCCCCCTCCCCCACCAAATCTTCTCTTCTTGTTAAGCACACCCAGTTCCATCAAAGACACCTCATATTTTCACATAGATTGTATTTTATGCTTCCTCTGTAAACTCTGGAAACAGAAAGCTTTAACAGCTTAAGCTAACGGGACTTCAGTTAATTTAAGTAATGCCACAGGTTTATTCTGATCCCTTAATAATTGTTCTGAAGATTGCCACTCTTCATTTCTTTTTCTCTCTTTCTTTTCTGTTTCACAAGGTTGATAGATGGTGAGTTGTCTATAAGCCCTCTGGTTTTCTCCATACTAATGCCTCCATGCCTTTCCTCTCAGATTGTCTCCATCGACCCCTCCATGTGGCTAGCATGGACAATTGGCTTCTTTCTGGTATCAGCTAAAATCCTGCCTATTACAAGAAGCCTCTCTGGGTCTCCCTTGATGTGACTGCCTTCCCTCCCACTCCCAATGTGCCCTTTATGTGTCTTGGCTGTTCATTGCTATTTGCATGCTGCTGTTAGATTGGGAGCCCCTTGAGGGCAGGGACTGTTTTTGGCTTTATTTCCCCACTACCAACCATAGTGCCTGGCACATATTCAGCAATTAATAAATGCTTCTTGTTTGATTGGGTTTTTTTGTAAAAACAATTACACATGTGTCCCATGATAGAAAATCTCTGAGCCAAAGGAGGTGCTGCCCCCAGCAACGATACCCACTAATTTTATTATCTTTGCCATCACCAGGACTGTTGGGTTATTTGACTAAACAGCAGAAGGAATGGGGCATTTCTTCCACCACCACCCACGGCTTCCTTGGAAGGCAGAATTGGTACAGTGAAGAACTAACACAATTCAAGGAGAACATTGTACTCAGTTCAACAATTATTCCACATCTACTGGGTACAGATCACTGCATCAGACACTGGAGACCTCACAGTTTAGATAAAGTCATGTCCTTGACCTCATAGAGCTCACAATCTAGCACAGAATATGACACAGATATATCCAATATACAACATTGCATGACAAGCATATGAGAGAATGCAAAGAGTACAAGGAATGTTTATCAAAGAGGTGCAAAGGCAGGTCTATGCGCTCGCTCTCTCTCTCTCTCTCTCTCTCTCTCTCTCTCTCTCTCTCTCTCTCTCTCTCTCTCTCCCCCCCCCCACCCCTCTCTCTCCCCTCATCAGCTTCCAGAGGTTTGACTGCATGCACACAGATGGCTCCCACATCTATATACTCAGACCTCACCTCTCTCTTGAGCTTCAGTCCCATATCCCCAGCCATCTGCTTAACATTTCTACCTGCCAGACTCCACAGGTATCTCAGTTTCAATATGTTATAAACTGAACTCATATCTTTACCCCAAAATCTTTCTCTCTGCCTAACTTCCTCATTTCTATTGAGGGCAGCAGCATCCTTTCATGGTTCATAACTCAACACATAATATATCAACAAAGAAGTGCGAAAACAAATGTCGGAGTAAATGATGCCAATTTGTTCATGGAAATGGGAGGGTGTATGATGGCGATCCAGAACTGAGTCATCACCACAAGAAATTAATGAAGGGTGGAGCCCACACTTATTAATCAATGCAGACAATGTAGGAAATCAGAGAAACTGTTATATGTCACTGAAAAATTTTACACCTACTAATTACCTAGCAATCAATGACTTAATGACTAGAATCATGCATGAAATGCACACTGCCACTCATGGACTAACAGATAAATCAAACCAATAAAAATGTTTAAGTTATTATTATTATTATTATCATTATTATTATTATTTCCTATTCATTCCTCTGTGAGAGGTAGACTTCAGTGAGAGTCATGTTTCAGTCATGTGGGGTCTTCATGACCCCATTTAGGGTTTTCTTGGCAAAGATACTGGAGTGGTTCGCCATTTCCTTCTCCAACTCGTTTTATAGATGAGGAAAGCAAATAGGGTTAAGTGATTTTCCTAGGATCACACAACTAGTAAGTGTCTGAGGCCAGGCTCAGACTCAGGTCTTCCTGACTCCAGGCCTGATGCTTTATCCACACAGTGCATATACACATCCCATCTTATAAACATAGACTACAAAATAGCCTGAAGAACTCAATTTATAAACTATAGTGGAAACAAAGCATTATCTCAGACAGAACCGTTACCTATAATTTCCCACTGATCAATGAAAACTAAAGAACATTTTAATAGACGTTATACCAGGTAGCCATAGTCTCCAAAGTGCTTGGAATGAAAAGCTTTAAAAATAGAGACCTAGGTGAAAAAAATCAAAATGATGTGGTACCTGTAGGAGGTCCATATGCTTTCTGCCACCTTGTCTGCTACTGGAGCTGTATCAAGGATGCTTTGGGTGATCCTAGAGAAAATGAAACTAAAACCTAATGCTTTTATCCAACTGCAAAAAGCAGACATTCTTATCCATTTATGCAACAGTCCACAGAACATTCAACATAAAAGAATCATAACAGCATAGACACATATGCCAGGACCATTTCGACCTGAACTCCATTGAACAAGATGACAATGACCTCTCTATTATGATAATAATGTTAATAAGTTATAGAAAGATGAACATTTTCTCATAAAAAAGAGGAACACAATTTCTAGATGTCCTCAGAGCACAAAATAAACAGACTTAAAAAACACAGAAATACTGAGCCCTCTTGGCCTCTATTTCTTCATCTTGTAAAATAGGTATTCCCCCACAGGTGGTACCTCAGAGAGCCATTGTGAGGATAGAGAGCCAGAAATGTTCCCCGAAACCAATTTTGAAACTCACAAAAAGAAAATAAAGTAACTTCCACCATTGCTTTCCACTGCTTCTTAGCCAAGAACGTGCAGAATCACATTACGAGGCAACAGTCCCGTTCCAGAAGCCATCTGAGAACTCCATTTCCCCGCGCACTGATAAACGTGAGTCTACAAAGTCAATGAATATATTAATAGTCTGGGATATCCACGTGGCCAAATGCCATGCTGCCCAGCCTACTTTGGGCACGACAGCTATGCTACCACTGTGGTTTCGCCTGCGTTTCCCTTTTTTTCCTGAGGGGAGAGGAGGGAGGGATGTATCAACATTCTTTCCCAATTCCTCTCACAACCTGGTTTCTGCCTCTTTTGCTTCCTGTCCAATCTGCTTTGATGTCCTTCTTTTTGTAGATACGTTGTGTGGGGGAGAGAAGAAAATCAAGATAGGAAGATTAATTTTTCTTCTTACGCCTTCTGTAAGAAACTTAGCCTGAAAGAGGGCTTATGGCTTCCTCTGTGCTTCTGGTATCTCCTTTGAAGTCACAGGCCATTCTGTGTGTGTGGAGGGAGATAACAGGCCTAGGGAATTAAGTCCTTGTGTTCTGTCTGAGGGAGGGCATAGGGCTGGCTCAACTGGATGAAGTCACTGGTTTGTAAGACTTCCTGCCTCAGGTATTTCTGATGGGACCCAGAGCTTTCTGTGGAAAGATTTCCTCTCAGGTAAGGGGGAGAGGGGATATAGCATTGTGTTGGTATGTCAATGTTGTCGTTGTTTTGCAATTCCTACTGCCTTTTATCCATTCCCACAGTACTCAAGTAACGGGTCACTCTTCTACAGTGAACAAAGATTTTTAGAGCTAAAAGGGACCACAGAGCGTTGGATCTAGGAGGGATTTCAGGAAATCAAATGTTACATTAATAATAATAATAATAATAATAATAATAATAATAATAATAATAATAATAATTCACATCACTGTCATACTTTAAGATTTACAAAGCACAAACAAAAATAAAAATAAAAAAAGACTTACAAAGCACTCCACTTTCCCCATGAAAGTCCTAGGCTATGTGTAACAAAGTATTATTGCTGTTTTAAAGATGAGGAAACTGAGGCTCAGAGAGATAAGGTGAATTTGCCGATGGTCACATGCCAAGAGATTGAAAGCCCAATGCTCACTCGGGCCCTTTGGCTCAGGAACAAACAATTGCATCAATACTTTGATAAACTCACCATCTCCTTGAGGGAATACTCCTTTCTATGAGACAGGTAACAAGCCTTTCTAGACTGTGTGATTTTTGCTCACACTCTCCCATAAATTTCCCATAGACGTTCTGCCCATGGCTCCCAGTTCAATATTCAGGCTGCCCATCTATTGCTCATTCTATCTAGATGGCCTCACCTCCTCTTGTAATCATACATTTCCTGAGTGTTCTCTACATCACCCATGTTGGTATAAGTCATCACTGTTAATATGCTATGGTCTATTCGTGTCCAATATTTGTCTTTCCTTTGTGTTTTGGGTCAACCCATGATTTTGGGTTTTTGGAGATAGCGACATTCCATAATTTGTGACCATAAACAATCATTGGAAGAATGCTGGTGTTTTAAAAAAGAAGTTTTGTTATGACAGGAGCATCTTGGGATCATGAAAAGTACATTGTCTTCCTTCTGTTCAATTCTGGGCTTAGCTCCCAACCATCTGCAATGTGTGTCCTATATGTGCTGATAGACTAACTAAATGGAGTGTCATACGAAGTGCATGTCCTAATCTGGATAAAGGCCAGTCATCATCCATTTGTTTTATCCCATGTGGATTGTTCATCTGATTTCCTGAGTGGCAAATGATCTCAGTTCTGGCACTGGGTCCTGGCAAGTGTGATGGATTTAACAAGAGGATCTGAGATCCATTCTACTTTTGAAACTTGTGCATGACCTCTCCCAGGTTCAGTTTCCTCATCTTGTCAAATAATAATCATAATAATAACCATAAAAATAATAATAATAATAATACCTTGGCATCTGCCTTACAGGATCTTTGGGGATTTAAATAAGGCATTGTGGTACAGGCATTTGTGACCTCTGGAAACAGAAAACCTGGATTCAAACCCTGCGAACCTGGACAATTTACTCACCTTCCCTGGGCCTCAGTTTGGTCATTAGTAAAATGACGGTGTTGGACCACACAGTCTCTGATGTCCCTTTCAGCTCTGGTACTACTGTCCTAGAATCACATGTCTGAAAGTACTTTGCAAGCTTTTGAATTTAGCCGGTCGTTGATACTATTACAGGCAGATGCGAGCACCAAGAGAACCTCACATCTCTGGATGAGGTAGTGTATACAGGGATGGACTTGAAGTCAGGAAGAGGTAGGTTCAAATTCTGCCACAGACATTTAGTTAGCTGTGTGACCCTAGGAAAGTCACTTTGCCTTTCTCGGTCTCAGTTTCCTCATTTGTAAAATAAGGATAATAATAGCACCTGCCTCCCAGTATTGTTGTGAGGATCACATGAGAATACACACACACACACACTCGTACACTCACACACACACATACACATATACTCACACACACTCACACACACTCACACCCATACACTCACACGCACACTCACACACTCATACACACATACACTAAAACACACTCACACACACTCATATACTCAACACACACACACACTGCTTTGAAAACCTTAAAGCCCTTTATAAATGCTATCACTATCATCATCATCAGGAATCCACCTTCTAATTAGATTCTACAAAGAACTTTGTTCTTCAAATTTGACAAGCACATCACCTGTTCTTTCATCCAAGTCAGTGATCAAACTGGTAAAGAATATCTAATGTTGATCCCCAGGGACATACACTGCCACAGACCTCCCTCCAAGCTGACATTCTTCCACGAATGACTCCTCTTAGGGTCTGGCCACTCAACTAGTTCTGAATCTACCCAATTGGACCCTCATGGAGTCTCCATCTTGTTCACAGAAATGGAAGAGCTAGTTAGACTGTATTTAAAAGCAATCTTTCTCCTGAGCTACCAGTTTAGTAATGCTGTTAAGAGAAAAGAAAAAAAAGAAAGGAGGGAAGGAAGGAAGGAAGGAAGGAAGGAAGGAAGGAAGGAAGGAAGGAAGGAAGGAAGGAAGGAAGGAAGGAAGGAAGGAAGGAAGGAAGGAAGGAAAGAAGGAAGGAAAGAAGGAAGGAAGGAAGGAAGGAAGGAAGAAGGAAGGAGAAGGAAGGAAGGAAGGAAGGAAGGAAGAAGGAAGGAAGGAAGGAAGGAAGGAAGGAAGGAAGGAAGGAAGGAAGGAAGGAAGAAAGGGAAGGAGGGAGGGAGGGATGGAGGGAGAGGGAGAGAGAGGAGAGGAGAGAGAGAGAGAGAGAGAGAGAGAGAGAGAGAGAAATGGGGGGAGAGAGAGAGGAAGAGAGAAAGAGAGACAGATGGAGAAACAGGGGAGGAGGGAGAGAGAGAGAGAGAGAGAGAGAGGAAGAGAGGAAAGAGAGAGAGAGAGAGAGAGAGAGAGAAGAGGAGAGAAAGAGAGAAAAGAGGAGAAAGAGAGAAAGAGAGAAAGAGAGAAAGAGAGAAAGAGAAAGAAGAAGAAAGAAAGAAAGAAGAAAGAAAGAAAGAAAGAAAGAAAGAAAGAAAGAAAGAAAGAAAGAAAGAAAGAAAGAAAGAAAGAAAGAAAGAAAGAAAGAAAGAAAGAAAGAAAGAAAGAAAGAAAGAAAAGGATTTCTGGGCCCTTCCAAGTATCTCTTTCCAGAATTCCTCGACCAGGAATGCTCCAGTATAACCAATAATGTGGTTTTTAAGTCAGAGCTTGAAGGCTTACCTACTGCCTTCCCCATCACACCTCTTCATGTAGGTAGAGAATACTGACATATTAACATGCTCAGTGTATGCCCAAGAACATACAGCTAGCATCAAATTTTAATAACATCCAGTGTATTTTCTACCAAATCACAGACGCTTCGTATTAAACCACAGGTTTTCCAACTGCTTTAGCCCGGTGCAGCACATGTGGCTATGTGCTGGGGGGTGGGGAGAGGAGAGAAAGGGTTGGCCCAGACAGCCTTGAAATCTAACTTTTTTTTTTCATTGTTTACTCTAGCACCTTACCACGTTGGAACAGAAGTTAGTGCAAAGGTAATTTTTTCCCTCTTTCCCAGCAAGTGTCTAACTGAAAAAGCAGAATGCCAAGCAAACAGACTTTTCTCTAAAGCATCTTGTTACCGTGAATAGCTTTTCGATTTCCGAGAGTATCTGTGGGGGCAGATTGCCAAGGCGCTGAGCCCTCAGCCCTTTGATAGGCATAGCACAGGACTGGTGCAGAGGGAAGGACGGATAGGATCTTATTCGGATGTTAGCCCCTTATCTAGTGCTGACAGGTCCTGTTTTACCTTTAATAAACTCTTTTCAGAGGGAAGAGTCCTCCAACATTTTCTGAGATCTCATTTCCTCGCTTCCAAAGAGGGCAGTCACCTTAAACCCTTTCAAAACCTAAAAATACTCCTAGATGTGTTCCGAGGGGAGCCAGAAGTTACCCAGAAGCCAGCTCTTCATTCTGAGCTCCTGTGATCTTCCTTCTCCCCGTGCGTTGCTAGGCAGCCCTCCGCTGGCGGGGGAGCTTCCTGTCTCAGGAATCTGTGTCCCCAAACTTTCCTCTGTTTCTCCATCCTGCGGCACCCCAGAGCTGTGCGAGGATTATGGCTGCAAATACTCTTAGTTCAAGGCGGACCGAAGAGAGGATGAGTGCGGCAGATGGAGAAGGCCCAGAACTGGGAGTCAGAGGCCCTGATTTTAAAGCTCTGCTCTGCCACACACTGCGGGACTTTGGACAAGCTGCTTCGTTCTCTGGGACGTGACTTCCTCATTTGTAAAATGCAAGGTTAATTCTTGCCCTGCTAACAGCATCCCCTGGTGTTTGAGGATCCAGTGCTTAGAGAATCTTACGATGTTATGGAAATGCAAATGTAGTATTATGACCATTATGATCATCCTGGTGCACATCATGCTTGGCACAGTACTCTGCGTACAACAGGTGCTTAACACCTGCTTCTGGAGTTGTACTGAATTGAAAAGGGACCGCGAAATGTTGGTGGCTGAATGTTAAGAATAACCCTGAAGTCAGCCTCCTGAACCCTTCCTTCTAAAGTGCCATGCTCTCTGCAAAAAATCAATCCAATTACATTGAACAAGCACTTCGGTGCTCCCATGTGCCAAGCATGGGATTATGTTCAGGGGATACAGGGACAAAAGTGAAACCATCCTTGCCATAAATGGGCTGACAGTCTCCTGGACCACAAAGCAGTGTGCCCTTCACGGGTATTCAAAGCCAATATTTTGGTCTGAAATTCTGAGGCCATGTTCCAGTCTGCAAGATCTAAATAATTTTGCTCCTAAGCTGGCTGTCACACCCCTGAGATGTCACACTGAAACTACAAATCCAGCCCAGGAATGTCAGAGGTTCTGAGCAGAGATTTAGAAACTACACTTCCAAGAGGCATCTTTCATGGATTTTTCTGCATCTGTTGGGGTGGGAAAATAATAGATCAGCACATCATTATCACTGGCATCAGAGGCTACTGAGCTCTCGCAAATGGATTGTCCAAATGTCTGAAGCTTGACTCCTTTCAGTCTTCCAAATCAGTTATTCCATCAACGAGCATTTCTTGAGCACCTACTATGTGCCAGGCACTGTACTCCACTTTGAGGCTGCAAAAGCTGCTGTCCCTGCTCTCAAGGAACTGCATTCTTTTGGGGGTGAGGGAGGCAAAATATACAACAAGGACATAAAAATGACGGTGAAGTAATTAAGGTGGGAAGACAGGGAGCTAAGTCTTCTCAAGAGAATCTTGATAAGGCTTCAGCCACTCCTGACATCATCAATGGAACGTGCGGGAAGCTAAGTCAGCCCTTTGTTGGTGGCTGGGACCGCTGCTCCACACCAACACTATCCTGGGCACTGCCCTCGGGAACCCCTGAGCCCCACTGGAGACAGAATGCCGGGACCTCCTGATTCTATAAAGCTCTAAGGCTGACCAAGCCAGCCCTGTGAGAGGCACAGCTCCCCCTTTGACACCCTAGATAAAGGATCTCTAAACAGAGCTGAGACCAGTGGAAACACCCTAAAATCGATGTCTGAAGACAAATCCAATTAGAAAGAGAGAGATCCCAAGATGCGAGACCCTTTGTGGGGGTATTGGAGGTCCTGAGATACTGCCCCTCCCTTCGGGTGGGTAAACTGAGGAGGTGCTTGCCTGGATTTCTGCTACCCGGGAAGGGAAGGCAAGAAACTGAGGCTAAAAAAAGGAAGTGACTTGTCTATGGCCACACAGTCAGAATTTGAATTCGAATCTCCTGACTACAAGTCCACTGCCTTTTACTAGCTATGTGACCCTAAGCAAATAATTTAATCTCTGTCTGCCTCAGCTTCCTCATCTGTAGAATGGGGATAGTAAAGCATCTACCTCACAGGGTTGTTGTAAGGATAAAATGGGATATTTATAGTGTTTTGCAAACTTTATAGCACCAAATCAATGCTAGCTATTATTATTGTTGTCCTGATCATTATTTATTTAAACATTTTCCACTCGTTTATTCATTTGTCATGCTAGTAAATGAGGTCCCACTGTGCCGACTTTCATTCCTTCCTAGCAGTGGAATTAAAGCAGAAGGAGGATTCCTGAGGGTGACTCTTGTTTTTTCAGATAGGGTTGGCTCAGGGAGTCTGGGGGAAGTTTCCATTAATAGTGTACCTGTGTGTGGTATTTGTTCACAGGAACAGTTGCAAATGTGTCTAGTTTTAAAGCCCCATCTTCAGGTGTTGGTCTGGTCTTAGGCTGGGCTGGTGAGGAAGGGTTAGAGCCTGCTGGATCCCTAGTCCCCAGGTTCTAGGACTTTGAGCTTTAACTTGGCAATTAATGCCAGGGTCTACAGCCAGCTCCTCTCCTCCCATGCCAAGGTCAGATGGCTGATCGGAATGTCCTTTGTTTACCATCCTGAATGCTCTCCCTTCTACTTTCAGCCTCGGAAGAGTTTTGTCCATCAAGGTTATAGGTGAGTTCTCAGGCCTGATATTCTCCCCAACCCTCTGTTTTGCCAATCTAGATCATTTGGGTTTGTTTTATGTCTAAGCCAGTTACAGTTTCTTGTGGGCTCATGCCTCTGGAATAGGCCAGTAGTCCATCTGTGCTAAACAATTAGATCAGCCTCTGCACTTTTAAGTCCAGCAGGCCAAGTCAAATTGTCAGGTAATCAGTAGAGTGGGAAGAGCTGTGGATGTGAGGCCAGCAGACCGAATTTTGTATCATTGCTCACTTGACTGCATGTGTGACCCTAGCTGGGCCCCCAAATCACAGAATCTCAGAACATACTTCAGAGACTATCTAGTACAAACCACACATAAATGGGAATCTCTCTACCACATCCTTGACAACTGACCATCCAAGCCACATTCAATGACCTGCAGGCATGGGGGCCCCACTACTTTTTAACTCAGTTTCCTTGTTTAAAAAAATGATGGTGATGGTTTAGATGATTCTAATCTCAGAATTGCTCCTTCTGGAGACAAAAAGAAGAAGTTGGAATCCCTCTCCTGTGTGCCTTTCCTCTGTTTTAGTTATGTGGTAGAGAGAGCAATTTTATTCCTCTTAGCCCCAAAGGTCAGAACAAGATCAAAGAGGCATAATCATTTGAGAAACCAGACACTGATTTTAAACCTCCACACTGATATTAAACCTCAGTGTAGGGTCTAACTTGCTTGAAATGAGATAGGATCTGGCCTTGGATAACTTACTAGCTGTGTGACCTGGGCCAGTCACTTAACCCTGATTGCCTCCAAAAAAAAGAAAGAAAGAAAAGGAAAAAAAAAATGAGATATGGCATCTTACATCTGGGGCCTGATTTGTGAGTCAATGTGATTTTGAGGAGGTCTGAGAGAGGCCTGGTGTCCATAATGGGGAGGGTGTGTTGGCAGACCACACATGAAGCATCAGGATCAGTTCTAGGGACCACAATTCAGGAAAGACAAGGTAAATTCAAGTGTTTCTAGAAGAGGACATAAGAACTGGAGACCACGTCTTACAAGAATTGGTCGAAGGATGTGAGGAGGATTAGCCTGGAGAACACTCAGGAAGCCATGATAGTTGTCTTCAAGTATTGGAAGAGTTTTCTTGAGGAAAAGGAATGAGTTTTGTTCTGCTTTGACTCAGAATGCAGAGGGATGCAAAGGGATAAAGCTGCAGAGGCAGACGTCAGCTTGGTGGAAGGAAAAACTGTCCAATGATCATAGCTCTTCCCTAATGGAAGGGGGTGCCAGCAGACCCAGTTAGTTCCCTGTCCCTGGGGCTCTCCTGGTAGGGCTCAGGGAATGTTGGGGAGGGACTTCTCATTCAAGCAAGGGTTGGAGCAGATGACCTCCGAGCTCCCCTCCAAATTCTGTGATTCTATAAGCCAGGCCTCCAGCCTGACTCCTCATCAAGGTCTCTTCACACCATCCAACTCTACCTCCCTAACACTGCCAACATCTGGCTTAAAACCTCTATGTGTGAGGGTCAGACAGCTAGCTCTGGGAAGAGCAGTCTTGATGCCAAATAATTCCTGTGGCAGATGGGTTTAGGAATAAATCTCTGCTAGAAACAAACCCCTTCCCCTCCAATTGCATTTGGGAGTAAAGGGGTATCTGGATAGATTATCAGACAGCCGCCTAAGAGGTGGACTTGACCCTGATGCTCTTGTCCACCCCCAAAAAAGGATCAAGGTCACTTACAAGCAGACTGAGATGTGACAGTATCTAATTCATAGATATATTCTGTCTGTTGCTATATGTTAGACTGTGCTCGGTTCAGACTTTGTTCTACTGTCTTTTAATTTTTCAGCCATAAACATACCTTTAGGGATGAGAAAAAGAAGGGGAAACAGCCAAGGGAAAGTGAACTGCACAAAAGGGACAAAGAGTTGAATTCTAAAAAGGTATCTATCTTCTTGGGTGGACATCTGCCTCAGCTCCACAGTTGAGTGTCTTGTAGACGGATCATTCTTTCTGTACGTGTGGCATCTCATCTCCAAGCAACGAGACTGAGTTTCTGGAGGGAAAGGGATCCTTGGAATGTTTGTCTTTGAATTCTAGAACACCCAGCACGTGCCTTACACATAATAGGCACTTACTAAGTGCCAGCAGAATTACAGGGAAGTGAATCCTGGTTTGTAAGAGTTTAGAATGGGCCAAGAAGAGCTGAAGGTAAAATAAACTAGGTTATCTCTGATGTTCCCTGTCCCACTCCAATATTGCATTTTCATGTCCACATTCCACCGTGTTCCAAGGCCCTTCCAATAGATACTATTATTATCCACGTTTGACTTTCTTCAGGTCACATAGCTACCGAGTGTCTGAGTCTGAGGCAGGATGTGAGCCTTAGATGTAAGTTTACGCTTATTCGTAATTATAGGAACCATATAAATTTCTTAAAAGTAATTTAGGGATTTAATTAATTCAATAACTGTCTATTAAGCATCTACTATATGCCAAGGCACTGTGATAGATGTGAGGATACAATATGCTGAAAATAACATATGGAAATCATTTTATAAATCTTAAATCACTATATAAACGCTAGCTATTATTATTACTGGGCAGCTGCGTGGTGCAGTAGATAGAGCACCAGGCCTGGAGTCAGAAAGATCTAAGTTCACATCTTGCCTCAGACACTTATTAGCTTTATGACCCTGGGCAAGCCACTTAAGCGTGTTTGCCTCGGTTTCCTCATCTGTAAAATGAGCTGGAGAAGGAAATGGCAAACCATTCCAGGATCTTTGCCAAGAAAACAGAAAATGGGGTCACAGAGAGTCCGACACAACCAGACAACATTATATGCCCAACGCTGTGGAGTTCCTGCCAGTCCTAAATCCTGTGATCTTGTTAATTAATGAGTCCTTTTAAAGGAATGCTGTTGTGTTTCATTTATGATAGAAAAAAGGAAGTAACATTTTAAGGTGGAAGTGAAGTTCATGTGAACTGTGCTGATTTCTCCTAATTGCCTGTATTTAGATCAACCGGGAGGAAAGCATTCTTCGAAAACCCCAGATGAAGGAGGACCACAGAGGCAAGTGGAGACTGGTGCGCCAGAAGTCAGGTGAGAGCCTTGGTAGCATCCACAGGGAGGCAGGTGGGGATGTTGCCGTCTAAGAGCAGAGCCAAGATTTGGAAGTGTTGTTCTGTCCCGGCTGCTCCGGCCACGCCTGATGTTTGAACCCAAACACGACTATAAACACGGCGGGGGCGGCTGCCTCCCACCCACTTTGGCTGGGAGACAGTTAGAAAGGACACCAGACAGAGTCACAAAGGACTCGGAGACTCAGGTGCGTAAAGGGGGCGGTTTTTTAAGGCCACACGGCTGGGATGCAAGGATCCAACCCAAGCAGAGCCAGTCAACACTGTGGGAGGTATTAGAGATTTACAAACGACAAAAGCAGTCCCTGTCCTGGAGGAGTTTACGTTCTCCTAAGGGATTCCTAAACAGACACACATTTGATAATTCAAGGAGGGAGAAAGCATTGACAGCTGGGGTGGCGGCGTAGGGACGCTGTTAAGAACTCCTCCTTGAAGGAAGAGGTGCCTGAGCCCAGGGTCAACAGGAGATAAAGACCCAGTAGAGCAGAGGTGAGGAGCCTGCACGCACCGAGGCTGGCTTCTCTTGCCTCGTTCCCCTCGCCCCCATAGTGGCATCCTTAATAGAAACTCACATACAAACAGCACTTTAATGAGGTGTAGCTCTTTGTACCTGAAGGGAGCTTTAGGGTGGGGTGAGCTCCCTGTAGGGAGCTGGGGAACCTGGAGAGCTTGTCATGCCTATGCATTATGGGTCCTGCTAAGTGTCTGTAGGTGTCCTGGCTGTTGTTATGTTGACAACATGGTTTTCTGGTTTAGTTTGATTTTATATAATTACAAGAAGAATGGTAGGGTTTGCATTGCCCCCAGGAACATGGGCAGGAATTACACAGAACAGGCGGGAGTGGATAGATCTACAGCTTTGAAAAAAGAGAGAAATGAATGAGACCAGGGGGTCCCATGGCTTTTTCCAAGAGCAAGGTGTTGGAGTATTTGAAGACGTTGTATCATTCATCTTTGAGAGAGAGATGATTGTCAGGACTTGGCTGATAGCTGTCTGTGGAAGAATTAACATTGGGGGCAGCTAAGTGCCCTGGCCCTGGAATAAGGAGGACTTGAGTTCAAATCTGAACTCTGACACTTACTAGCTATGTGACCCTGGGCCAGTCACTTAACTCTGATTGCTTCCAAAAGTGCCTCCAAAGTTACAAGCCTGGGCAGTTGGGTGAGAACTGATGTTATTAGCAGAAATAGAGAAGCTGGGAGGAGGAGGGGCATGGGAGACAATGAGTTCCATTGAGTTAGAGGTGTTAGCTGGGAAGAATACCCAGAAGGAAACTGGAAAGGGAAGGTGAGTTCAGAGAAATAAGAGAAGGAGAGAAAGTCCTGGGACTTGGAGTCAAGAAGACCTGAGTTCAAATCCTGCCTTAGACACTTATTATGTGACCTTGGTCAGGTCACTTAATCGCTGTCAGCTTCAATTTCTTTGTCTGTAAAGCAGGGATGATAATAACACCTATTTCACAGAGCTGTTGTGAGGATCAAATGAATAACATATTTAATGTGCTTTGCAAATCTTGAAGCACTTTATAAGGCGTCTCAAGAGTCTTGTGATAACTTTTTTCTACATTTAAAAGGAATAGCAATTGCACATAATAGAACTGCAGTTTCCTTAAACTGCAATCATCTTTTTTTATTATGCTTATTATGGAAATGCTTGTTTTATTCTATAAATTTAAAATAAATATATAAATGTGAAAAAAAAGTCTTAGTTCAGTTTTAAACATTAATAGCTTGAAATTCTGCACAAAGACATCTGGAGCATCATGTTAGTCATCACCATGATCATCTTTCTTGAAGTGACAGTGGGGACAGAAGGATGGATGGGATAAGCAAGGGACAAATTTAGAGAGGGAATAGAAGACTTGGAAAGCTCACACTGGAGGCGGAGGAGAGCAGAAAAAGGAGCCTTGTGGCAGCCAGAGAAGTTGGCTGAGTTGTAAGGATGCCCTTTGGCAGCCTGTGGCCTTGAACTCTGGGTAGCTGCTCCCTGTTGAACTCTTCCCAGGTATGGGGAATCAAACAAGCTGTCTGGTCCCCAGCCCAGTCTGCCATTTGAAGCTGTGTGGCTGCCCCTGGGCATTTCCCAATGATGGTGATGGCCCAGGAGCACGTTCACCTCACACATGAAAGGCCTTCACAGCATGGGGAAGGAGAAATGGCCCTGAGTTTGGAATCAAAGGACAGGGGTTCGAATCCTCCCTCTACCATTTGTATGACTTTGAGTACATCACCTCCTCTGTCAGGGCCTCAGTTTCCTTATCTGTAAAATAAGGAGGTTGAACTAGGGTCCCCTCCAGCACTTGGTCTCTGGCCGCATGACCTCGTACATTCAGAACCCACACCGACCACTTTGGCCCGTCCTTATTTCAGGAGTTTTAGTGTTGTCTCTTGCGTCCTCCTTATTTTATGCTTCTCCTTTATTCCACACAGTGCATAAGTGCATAGTAGGTGCTCAGGAGATGCCTTCTGATGGCTAGCAAGTCAGTCACCTTCTCAGGGCTTAGGTTTCCTCAAACAGAAAACAAGTAGGTTGGACATTGGAGGATCCCATAGTCCTGTGTCTCGGAAGACTCTGAAAATATGGAAATGGAAGGGACCATCCTAATGGGGTCTCTCAGTCTCAGTTTCCTCATCTGTAAAACTGTAAAAAGTCAGAAGTACAGCACCTAGCTCACAAATGTCTTTTGAGGATCAAATCAGACGATATGCATAAAATGATCCGAAAATTGTGGAGCACCTTAGAAGTATTAATGGAGTTTTACAGAAATGGCCTTTGGAATACTCTTTTATGTTTAATGGTCTGTGGATTATTGAAGAGGTAGATAAAATAACTGAGTTTCTTTTTTGTTATTGTTTTTTGTTGTTTCTTTTTTGGTTTTGGGTTGTTTTTTTTTTTGTAACAGAATGAAAGTGTGGGGATGTTAGCTCATCTTCCGTAAGCTCAGTCAGTGACAGCATCTTGGGGGCAATTTCAGTAGCACAAAGGATGAGGGAGGTGACATGGACTTCATCCTGTTCCCAGGTGGTTTGGGTTTCTTCCATTGGTAATCTATATTTTGAAAGCTTTCATTTGGTGTAGCTTAGAAATTATGAGTATTAGCTATTGTGCTATAAGAAATGACAAGCAGGATGATTTCAGAAAAACCTGGAAAGATTTAAATAAATTAATGCAAGGTGAAGTGAGCAGAACCAGAAGAACATTGTGCACAGTAACAGCACCATTGTGCGATGATCAGCTATGACTGAGTTAGCTCTTCTCAGCAATGCAATGACTCATGATGGAAAATGCTATCCACATCCAGAAAAAGAAGTAGAGTCTGAATGCAGATCAAAGCATACTATTTTCAATTTCTTTATTTTTTTCATGTTATTTTTTCCTTTTGCAAACCGGAATTTTTTTTTTGCAAACTATTTTTTCTCTCACAACATGACTAATATGGACATAAGTTTTATATGCTTGCACATATGTAACCTCTATCAAATTGCTTAACATCTTAGGCAGGGAGGAGGGAGAAAATTTGGAACTCAAAATTTTAATTAAAACGAATGCTAGCAATTATGAGTATTGGGTATGGAAACTTCTATTTTTAGAAGTTTTTCTTAAAGTTTTATGGATTTTGGTTATGTCTGGGTGATTGTGGATATCAATTTCACTTGTGATAATGCTTGGGTTCCATTACATTTTATTTGTACAATTCTCATTAATATTTTAATGTCTGTATTATATTATGGAGGATATATCATCTGTTTATTTATAAAGGTAGTGAGTTTCTGATGCATAATTTGGGACACCAGCTCAAGTCTTTCTAGGTAGTTGCTAGGTGCTAAATTTTTGCAACCTGCAGTGATCTGTTTCACATTTTCTCTAGTTTCTTTGCAAAATGTCAATGACTAATAAGTTCATAAGGATAATCCTTCTGTAATTTCTGGTGATGATCACCTAGTCTTCAATTGCTACCACAAGCTACTCCAATTCTGTAAATAAAATCCAGCTATTGGAACCCCTACTCTATAAAAATGTGACCTATTCTTCTTCAGAGAAACTCTTTTTCTTTCTGGATAGCTATGGGAATACAGGGGGCGTGACTAAAACAAAAAAAAATCACAATTTGGAATCAGAAGATCTTAGATTCAGAATATAGACCAAAGAAGGTGTATAATGATGGGGCATACCCTAGAAAAGAGGACTTTTCTGCTCCCCCGAAAGATACATTTGATGTGAGTTTAAACTCACAATAGGACACACTGATAGTCTTTTTTTTTAAAATATTTCTCTCTCCCCATAGACCGAAGTCTGATCTACATAATTCATTCACTCCACATAGCTGTAAGCATAGGAGACAACATTGGAAATATCTGTCTGTAAGTGGGAATAGTGTGGACTCCAGGCACACATACCCAAGTGCTTGTCTTAAAAAGGTCCCTATGATCAGGACTATGGTTTAGTAGAAATGATCCCAAGATGTGCACTGATGAAATCCCTTATGGCTAAGCTGATGGTGATGAATTCTTTCAGTAGAAAATTAGATTCCTAAGATAGTTTTTAAATGAAATCTAGCGGAAAGAAAAAACTCCTACAGTAGGTACATGGCTTCTTCTTAGTGGTTGGTCTTTTTTTTAAGAGTAGATCAACTCTATGAGCAATTCAATTCAATTTCATAAACATTTATTCAGTTCTTGCTTTGTGTGAGCTCTGTGTCATGTCATGTCTTCTAGCGCAAAGCTGGGGGAAAAAACATAGCACCTCCCTTCAAGAAGCTTATATTCTATCCGAATAAACAATAAAATAAATACAAAATACATACAAGTCATTTCAGAGGGGACACTATCAGGTAGGAGGCAGGATTTGCAGGGAATGTTTTCATCTGAGAGGATCTAGGAGATCCTTTGATGAAGGAGATGGCACCTAAGTAGAAATCCTACCTCAGGTTGGGAGCACATGCCTAGAACCATGTAGGGAACTCAAGTCAATTTTGTAGCTTCCAAGGGACATAGTGAGGAAGAACATGAAGCTTTCTAAAATGGAAAGAATAGTCATTGAACTATCCCAGGAAAATGGTGGCTACCATTTTGGAGCAACAGGGACTGTGCTCTTTTCATTGGCCCTACCCCTCAGGTAACAGGGATGGATCCTCAGCCTCTGGGACCTGTGCTCACCCCCTCAATGGTGCCATGCTCATTCTTCCAGGGGGAATCTAAGTGAGCCCTGACAGACTGTAAGCTCTAGAGATCTGTCTGAAAGTGTCACAGGATCATTCATGAAACTAAGTTGTGACTTGATAGCCACTTGGGACATCTTCAACCTCTCACGAGAGAATTTCATAGCCTATGAAATACGACACCCCTAAGAGCTCTCTTTTCATGGATACTATCATCTCAAGTAATGACAGACCTACAGACAATGGGAACAAAGTATCTTTTAAAAGAATATCAGGCTTACAAAATACTATCAATGGTTGCAGATGGCAAACTAGAATGTAGTTGAATTTTTTTCAATTCCACCTAAAGAGATGGAGAGAGGGAAGAGAGGAAGAGAAAGAAAAAGGCCCTAGTCATGGTGCTTTGAAGCTAAATGGGGCAGAATCTAATCGGGCCCATCCTCCCATTTGTTAGCTGCTGTCTTGTCTGTCCGCTATAGAGGGTGACACAGGCCATCCCAGGGGAGCCCTGTCGTTTTCCGTCCAGTTAAACAATCTTTGCTCTACTTCCCAGTGTGTGTGGCCATGGCTTGCCTCTGTCACAGTCCTTCTCTCTCACTGCCCTAGACTTCATGTGGCTACAAGACCTCATCCCTTCTTGACAAGGAGAACCTCTCCCTCAGGGACATCTCTCACTGGTACACGTAATCTAATAAAAAGTTCCCCATTCCTTCTTGGAAGTTGAGATTTTGGTGTCGTTTGCAAAACCAGAAGGAGTACAGTTGTCAACCAGAGAAACAGAGCATGGTACTAAATATCCATCTGTACGTACTATAATGTGAGGATGCTCAACACATTGCCTCAGGTGTCCTGCACAGCAGTTACACAATGCAGCACATGGAATGGGCATAACACAATGCTTGGTTGCTTTCCTCTCTGTTCAATCATCTCTGCCAGGCTTCTCCATCTCTATGACCACAGCATGCTCCTTGACACACTCTACCTTCTTTGCTCTAACTCCAAATTTCATATGGCAACAGGATCTCCTGGAATCTCTACCCAGACCCCGGGATAGCCGTGATAGATGGCACCATCCTTCATGGTGCCATCTTGTTGCTCCTTGGACATTTGTAAGACGGGATATACTAACTAATAAAGAATAGCTTGAGGCATGTGTTAAAGTTTGATTGGTGCATCTTAAAACCTGTAGTATGTTAAGTGTTGTTATTTGGACTTTTACTACAACGTTAAATCATAGGGAAGTGCAGATCTGAGCAATTAAAAGAATCTCTCCTTTTGCTTTTCCTAAATAGGCTACATTGACTTAATCAAATAATCAGATATTTGTCTATCTGTCATATATTTTCCCTGTGTACATGAAGAACTTGGGTAATTTGTTTGCATATAATGTCAAACTAAAAAATAGAATTGTGTGGTGGGAAAGAGAGTGGGAATCAGGGGTTGTAGTCTTATATTTACTGGCTGTGTGACTTTGGAGAAATTACTTCATGTCTCATCACACACACACACACACACACACACACACACACACACACACATATATGTACTTTATCTGCATAATGAGGGTAATCACCCTGCCAGTGAGGGGCAGCATGGCATTATAGCTTGAGGGTCAACCTTGGAGTTAAGCAGATCTGGATTCCAGGCCTGCTCCAGACAAAGGGAGGCTTTATTGACAAGGATAAATCATTTAACTCCTAACTGGTGCCCAGAAACTTTCTAAGACTCTAAGTTAGAAATAAGTTGCTAGTCTGAGTAGATGGAGAGAGTTGCCACACTGTGAGCTGCCCACAATGCTGAAATCCTAGGTCCAGACCAAAAAGAGAAAAAACTACCTCACAGGGTGATTATGAAGAAAGTTCTTTGGCAATATTAACAGTCTACAGAAATACTCATGGCATTCATTCCTACAGGATCACTGATTTAGGACTGAAAGTGAATTTCAAGTCTCATCCAATCCCTCCATTTTATAGTTAAGGAAACTGGGGTCCAAAGAATTGTGACTTGCCCAAGATCACACAGGTAGCAAATGCAAAGCCAGAATTTGAACTCCAGGCCACTGACTCCAAATCCAGAATTTTTTTTCTAGTTATTTTAGATAAGCAAGTCTAGGAGTATACACACTAGACTGCTAAGTGGCGCCATAGTGCACAGACCACCTGGCCTGGAGTCTGGAAGACTCATCTTCCTGAGTTCCGGTCTGGCCTCAGACACTTAGTAGCTGTGTGACCCGGGCAAGTCACTTCACCCTGTTTGCCTCAGTTTCCTCATCTGTAAAATAAGCTGGAGAAGGAAATGGCAAACCACTCTAGTATCTTTGCCAAGAAAATGGGCCCAAATGGAGTCCCCAAGAGTCAGACATGACTGAAACAATTGAACAAGGGGCAGGCACACACACACAGAGTACAAAGTGGAATCTGGTGGGGTTTGTTTTGTTCAGAGTTAGAATGCCATTGGAGACATTTAGATTCCGCCTAATGCGCTTGACTACATCCCCAAGAGGGCCTGGATATTACCAAACCACAAGCTGAGCTGGGCCTAGCAAAATGCCTCAGCTGAGTCCTCATGCCACAAAAAAGGTTCAGCTCCTGACCATTACTCCCCCTACAAGGGCAGGTGTAGTTGCGGGCCTCTGCAGAGTGAAGCGTGGGTGGGCGTTTTGCCTGGAAGTAGTCTACAAGCTTCTCTCAGAGTCAGTTTCTCTGAACATATGAGGACTCTCTAATGCAACTTTCCTCTGGGTTTTACACTGTATCATTAAAGAATGTGACTGAATTCTTTCCTTTAGTTTCAGAAGCAAAGAGTGAAGAAATATATGAAGACCTGTACAGTGGAGACAGCAGCCAACCCCCAATGGAGTGAGTGAGTCTCTTGTCCTCCTTGCCTGGGCCTGGCCTTTGTAGACAAGCTGGGAAAGAGCAGACTACAGGGGCAGGGATGAGGGGAACAGACACATGAGAGTGCCCTTCAGATGCCTGAAAGTCAACCATGTGAAAGAGGGAATAGTCTTCTTCTAATGAACCCCGGAAGGCAGAAGGATGAGCAAACAGAATCAGTTTCATGAATAGATTTCAATTTGATATAAGAAAAAAAATTCCTAAAAATTGCTACTGGTCAAAAGTAAAATAGGGTAATGGAGATGACCATAGGGAGCAGTGTCACGTGACAGAAGGATTAAATGTTCTACTTGACCCTACAAGGTAGAAATTGGTAGATGTTCAAGAAAGGCAGATTTCAGATTGACATAAGGAAGACATGTTTCCCACTAGTTGATATAAATTGGAGTCATTGACATCATCCTTATCCTTATCCATAGTCATCCTCATCCTTAGCACATGTATCACTTTAAGATTTGCAAAACTCTACACGAACATATTCTCATTTTATCCTCACAATAACCCTGGAAGATATTATTATCCCCATTTTACAGATGAGGGAGCTGAGGCAAAGCAAAATTAATTGACTAGCCCAGGGTCACACCGCTATTAAATGTCTGAGGTAGGATTTGAATTCATATCTTCTGGACTCTAGGTCCCATGCATTATCCACTACACCACCTAGCTGCCTAATTTACAATTTAAAGGTTTTCTGTGAACATAGCAAAGTTACCATCCCCTGCTCCCCAGTGGCTAGTTTAGACGTCGGTGCTAAACTATTTAATTCTAACATACTAATGACTAGGCTCTTTCAGGCTGGAAGAAGAAAATAACTTTCACTAAAATGCTATTATCATTGATTCTTGTTGCTACTGATTTTATACTTTAACTATTATGGAGAAAATCCTTATCTGGAATTTATTTCTAATTTAAATTTTTCTTTATTTCTTCTTTTAGTTTCTTGAGACAATGTGTATGTGGGTAGGGCATCAAGTGATTTGGTGAGGAGAGATTTGGCTTTGCAACTCTGATAACTTGATATTTACTTGTGACCATAATAATAATAATAATAATAATAATAATAATAATAATAATAATAATAAATAGAAGAACAAAATTTTAACAGACATTACTATTCCAAATACTCATATTTCCAAAATGCATAGAATGAAACGAAATTAAAGCCACCTGAGAACAGGACAAAGAACTGTCACTCAGTGAATCTACATTAAACATATGAGAACACATTTGTTGAATGATTAAAGAGCAATTATTATATTTCTCTGTACCATAGCCAATTCCATGGAACATCAACTATCAAAGACTAGTCACAGAATAGTGACTTGTCCTCCAAACATTTCCATCTGAACATTATCCGAAAAGTTGAGAAGAGAAATAACAGTGATGATAGCAATTTGGGTTCTGGAAATACTCTTGACTGAGTTAACATCCCTGTCAGTGTGAAGGAAGAGAACTAGGCTGGCAGAGTGGAAAAAGTACTGATCTCAGAAGTTAAGAAGACCGGGGTTCTAATCCCACCTCAGACACAAGCTAGCTGTGTGACCAAGATATTTATCATTTCTGAGCCTCAGTTTCCTCAACTGTAAAATGAAGGGTTTAGATTTCAATATAAGGTATCTTAGAGTCATCTCAACCTAAGGTGTAGACTTAGACTCCAAGGTACATGCTAGCTGTAAACCTATGATTGTATAAGTCAAAGAATGAGATGGAGCAGAAGCTAACATGACCATGAGCTTACCATGGAGAGGGGCGAGCAACTGATATACCACAAGAAAGCAGGAACACTAGGACAATCAAAGGTACCCCAACACTAGTTCCTTGAAATCTTTCCAAGTAGATAGCAGTGACATCTAAAGCAGGGAAACCATGGATACCCAATAAACAAACTGAAGATAAAACACTTTCATCGGGCAATAACGCCATCCTGTATTGGAAACAGATCTTGCCATTTATAGGCAAGAACTTCTACTACCTTTCGTCATCACCTCCAAGTCACACAACAATATATTGTCAATCAGTGCCAGACAATTGTAAGAAACAAGCCCTAAGCCCACAGAAGATGAAGTCAGAGCCAAAATGGAGTAGTTCCTAAAAGTTGAGGAGAAAAGACTTGAAGAATTTGAGGCTAATGAAAATTTTCTACTTAATGAAGACTCTAGAAAGTCAATTTAATAAGAAGAGAGATATCAAAATCATACTCAAATTTCTCAAATGACTTTGAAGAGAAGACAGACAAACCTAGACTGGAATTTCAAAAAGTCCCTTTTTGAGTCTGTTGGCATGAAACCAACTAAAAGTCCAGCTTTACCAAAATATATACCTCACAAAAGCAGGCATTCACTATAATCATCATAAGCAAATGCAATCTTCTACAACATTTGGCAGAAAATGTAAAAAACCTTTCAGGGCCTGTATACAATAGTATATACAGCAACTATATGTGGTAGGAAGGAAAGGTGAAGCTATCAAGTGAAAGTCTTAAGGACAGGCATCAATACTATAATGGTAGGAACAACTCGAGAAATCTGTTAAAGAGGATGTACCCGTCAACTATGGGTGTACCCCAAGACCCTGTGCTGAGCCCTCTCTCTACATTCTCTCTAGGAAAACTTTATCAGCTCCAGTAGGCTTAATAATATTTCTATGATGATGAAATCCAGATATATATTTCTAACTTTAATCTCTCTTCCAAACTCCAATCTCATAAAATCAAGTGACATTCTAAACATGTCCAAAGACTTGAAAAGTTCAACATGTCCAAAGTTAAACTGCTTATACTTCTCTGAAAGCTCAACCCTCTTCTGAACTTCCCAGTTTCTACCAAGGCCACCACCATCCTGGTTATCCAGTTTACAGACTCAGTGTCATTCCTGGCTTCTCATTTTCACTCAACTAAAATAGCCACAAACTTTCTTTCTCTACAACATTTCTTGTATTTATTCCCTTCTCTCCACTCATACGGCCACTTCCCTCAGTCAGCCTCTCTCACTTGGACTACTCCAATAGCCTCCCAATCACTCTCCTTGCCTCAGGTCTCTGCTGTCCAATCAATCCTTCCCACAACTGCCAGAGTGAGTTTCCTAATGTACAGTTCTGACCATGCCACCCCTCTTCTGTACATAATCTTGACTCCCTCTTACCTCCAGCATCAAATATAAATTCTCCTTTGGGGCATGTAAAGCCCTTTAAAATTTGACCCTAACATTGTTCATATAGTGTCAAGAGAAAATACAAACTGGTCAAAATACTTGACTGAAAGCTTATGCACAATGGCTAGAGTGAATGACAGAGCGAGGCTGAGACAGGATATCGAGATCTTCATTTCTCTGACAAACTGTGAAGTGAAGGAGCGAGTTGAGAGCCATTATTCTTGGCATGAGCTCTTCACAGGGATGCACAAAGGAATCACAAAGCACTTTGCCGATTTCCCCTCAGACACAAGTCTTGATCCCACCAATTTTAATAAAAGGTTTGACAGGTCTATCAAGATGAGAATACCAACTGCCCTTTCAAAGAGAAGCCAGTTACATTCACAAATTTAACTAAAAAGCACCACCAGTTCTTACGAGAAATTGTATGTTTGTGAAGGAATAAAAAAGAATGTGCCTAGAAATCCTAAGGGGTACAAAAAAGCCAATTGGTATCGATTCAGCAGTTACTGAATGGGAACATCGACTGACCAACTCAAATCCTTAAGTCAAAGCTAAATGGGGTAAAATACATTTAAAATAATTGATACGTAAACAATCCCAGCCTTGACGCATATTTTCAGAATGATAAAATAGACCATATTGGAAAATATTCTAACAAAAAAAAAATAATGTTACAAAATACAAGACCTATCCTCCTAAGAGCAGTTAGGTAGTGCAGTGGATAGAGCCATGGGCCTGGGGTCAGGAAGACCTGAATTCAAATCCAGCCTCAGACACTTGCCATCTATGTGACTCTGGCTGGATAAGTCACTTCACCCTGTTTGCCTTAGTTTCCTCTTCTGTACAATGAACTGGAAAAGGAAATGGCAAACCACTGCAGTATCTTTGCAAGAAAATCCCACATGAAGTTACAAAGCATCAAACACAACTGAAAAGCAATGTAAAGATTAATTCTTCTTCATTAAAAAGAAGGAAGAAAATTATTTCTTCAATTTGACTCTGTAAAATGTAGGTTTAATTATTAATTTCATTTTAAGTAATGTGGTATAGCAGAAAGAGCGCTAGGTGTAGAATCATAAGAGATCTCAGTCCAAATTCTGTCTCTGGCACTTACTTTGTGACTACAGTCAAGTTATTTTATGTCTCTTAGCCTGAGTTTCCCGATCTGCAAAACAGGATTAATAATAACACCTATAGTACTAGGTTTATTATGATGATCATGAGATTTTTTAAATGCATAGAATTCTTCCATTTTCAATAGGGCAGCCAGCTGAAGCTGCAGTGGATAGAGTGGCGGGCCTGGAGTCAGGAAGACTCATCTTTCTGAGTTCAAATCTGGCCTCAGACACTTACTGGCTGTGTGACCCCATGCAAGTCACTTAGCTCTATTTGCCTCAGTTTCTTCATCTGTAAAATGATCTGGAGAAGGAAATGGCAAATCACGTTAGTGTCTCTGACAAAAAAACCCCGAAATTGGGTCACAGAAAGTCGGACAGGACTGAAAAATGACTTAAAAAAATTTTAATAATCTCAAATTTTATTCTTTTTTGTTTATTCTGTACTTGGCAAATACCAAAATAAATGATCACTTCCATATAACTAGGAGGACAGAAAAGGCTTGTACATGGAACTAAAAATCTTTATTATTTAGAACACCTTTCAAACTTTAAAGCTCTATATAGTAAGCTACTCATAATCATAATTATTTTCACAGTGCATCCATTGTCTACAAAAACATGGACTTTATATGAAATGGTAAAGAACCAGTCTCAACCCATCCATGTTGAATGAAACTGGTAAAATCCAGGCTGATCCTTAGAAGAAATATCCATCCTGAAGGGCATTCAACAAGCCCTCCCACCTCTGTCATCTGTACTGAGTAAACTGGAAATCAATCATTAGCCTATTCAGGCAACCAGAAATGATCTGAGGCTAGTTCTCTTACAAGGAAGAAGTAGGAGCAAGGGAGGAAGGTTCAGAGAGAGAAATTTAGGATTGATGTCAAGAAACCCTTCCTCACAAGGAGAGGTGCCCAGGAGTGAAGCCTTGAGCAAAGGAGAAGGTGCCCTCTCCCCCGCCCCATTTCTCCAACAACAGATAGGACTAGGTACACTTCTAGGTTGCTTCTAACTCAGAGTCACTGTGAGTATGTGAAGTAAGCCAAGCAGTTCTGTTGTGCTCACTGTGAATAGGCACTCCTGGATAATACAGAAAAATATGGCAACTGAAAAATCATTTCTCCTTCTGTACCAGAGATCAGTTCATTGGTCCTTTGCAAACAAGGAAGAGAAGCCTAGAATGGGCTGAGATTTGTTACTGAGATTTGTGTTGGGGTTGTGTCTGTCATAAAGCATCAACAAACATCTAACCCTCACTCAGTGGGGGTATGTCTTAGGCCCAGCATTCACGTCATTTCATTCTCCTTAGGTTGGAAGAAAAAGAAAAATTTAAAAAACTAGGATGGTTTTTTAAGAAAGAAAAGGGAAAACTGAAACCAAAGAAGACGAAAAAAACCTTAAGGTAAAAAATGAGCTGGGTGGGGGTCTTTCTGTAGGAAATAATGATTTTTTTTTACTAGTCACGACAACCATAGCATAATACAAGCCCATTCTGGGAAACAGGGGTATTACCTAAACAAATGAAACCCAAGTTAATGGGAATTGCCTCCTCTTTTATATTAATTTCTTGAGAAGACATTCATATATATTATATATATATATATATATATATACACATATACATATATACATATATGTGTATATATACATACATATACACATATCTGTATATATGTGTGTATATATATGTATACATACATATATATCCATCAATAGGTTATATTTATTTTCCTTTAAATAAATATTGAGGGGAAAGGATTTCAAAATACAGGACTTTGAATAGATGGCCCCAGAAAGCTATGAAAAGAGAATCTGATTCCAGATCAGAGGACCTGGGTTCCAATCCTGACTATACTACTTAATTTCTCTGTGATGCTGAGCAAGTCTCTCAATCTCTGTCCTTCAATTCTTCATCAGTAAAATAAGGAAATTGCCCTTCTAAGTCTTTGTGGTCCTCTGGTGTGAATTAAATGTAAATTGAAAGACCAATTGTTTCCTCCTCTGGCTTGACATCTATTACTCTAGACATTATTCTTATTCCCCTTTTCTTAGGTGTTATATATCCTATTTTTAGTCAACCATTTTAGTTTTAGAAACTCCGTAAGTGTGGTTTTTGTGTCACCAGGATCCTTATCTGGAAAATGGACCCTGACTAAGATGAACAAGAAGGCCCCCTCTAGCTCTTAATCTAGGATTCTACAAGACTCATGCTGCCTTATGAGTTCAGGCAAGCTTAAGGTTTCAGTTAATGGGGCTATTCAGTCCTATGTGGTCTGGAATTGCACAGTCCTAAAGTCTTAGAGTTGGAAGGAATCTCCAGAGACCAACTAGCCCAGATCTCAGCCTTCCAGCATAAGACCCTTGGACACGTCTTTGGGATGGAAGAAAAGGGTAATGAATAGGACACCTGTGAAATCATTAGAACAGTAAGGTCCAGATGAGTCATCTCCCTCTGCCAAGGCAAAACAGAGACTTCTTTTGAGGGTCTTAGAAAATTGCCTAGGATTCTGACAGGTCAAGCGACTTGCAGGACTTGAACCCAAATCTTCCTTTATTCCAAGGCAATGCTACCTTTCTTTCAGATAAATTGAATAAATGCTCTGTATAATGGATTTTTTTCTAACACTCCCTCCCCTTTTGTTTTTGCTTATTGACAGTGGATTTTCAATGTCAATGCTCAATTTAGGTAAGTAACAATTACTTTTCTTGGGTTTAGGCAAATGTATTAGGAGAGGATGGAAAGGGGGAAAGAGAGGAGAAATGAGTCTCACCCTAAAAAACCTGGTGCTCATCGAACAGATCAATGAGAGATGTTTCATTTTACAAAAGTATTCCTCACTTTACCAAGCTTGAATATGGTTCAAATCTTATTCATTCATTTTTGAAATACTGCTTACAGATAACATTGATGCTTCCTGACTGGGGGGAGAAAGTGAATCCTCATAGCCAGTCAATATTGCAGTATAGTGGGCAGAGCACTGAACCTGAAGACACAAGTTAAAATCCTGACTGACACTTACTTGTCTTGTGACCCAGGACAAGTCACTTAATTGCTAGGGATCTCAGTTTCACCTGTGAAATGAGGATTACAAGAGTACTTGCTTCACAAAGTTGTAGGATTAAATGAGATAATGTATGGAAAACACTTTCTAAACCTTCAGGTTGACAAGGTTTAAGATTTGTGGTACAGGAGACAAAACACTGACTTTGGAAGAAGAAAACCTGGGTTCAAATCCCAACTCTGATATTTATTTCTTGTATGACCTTCCATGGGCCTCAGTTTCCCATTTTTAAAACGAGAAGGTTGCTCGAGGTTGTCTCTTAGGCCTCTTCTGCCTCTACATCTATGCTCCTATCAATTGTCCTATAAACATCAGTTATCAAGATGGTAGTGGTGGTAGTGGTGATGATGACAAGTTGGACAGAAATTGAAATTATGCATCCATCAGGTAAAATAACACATCCAGTCTTGTGTCCTGCTGGGGAATCATCACATTCTGGGCATTTTTAAGTCTTTCATTCATTCTTCACACATTTATTAAATGTCTACTGTGGGCTAGACTCTCTCTGTCTCTCTGTGTCCCTCTCTGTCTCTTTCAATTTCTCTTTCTCTCTCCCTCCTTCTCTCTCTCTCTCTCCCTTTCTCCGTATATATATATATATAATATACATATATATACACACACATCATATACATATACATATACATATACATATACATATACATATACATATACATATACATATACATATACATATACATATACATATACATATACATATACATATACATATACATATACATATACATATACATATACATATACATATACATATGACAAGAGAGAGCTTCGATTTTTACCTCTTGGTGAAAACTGGGGGTAGACCTGTATCATCATACAATTATACACCATCTGAAAGAACAACAGCTTTACACCATTGTAACTAAGGATTTTGTCACAAATCCCCAGTGCTTAACACAGTGCCTGGCACATAGTAAGTGCCTAATAAATGTTGATTGACTGATGATCGTCATCTCCTTTCGATTCTAGAATGTAAGTCTCAGGATCACGTACTCTACGATGATGTAACAGTGGATAAGAAAGATTCCAAGTAGGTTGATTTTGCTCTTTTGTCAGCCAGATGTCCCCAAGGCTTAATCCAGCCCCTCAGTGTGGGCGAGGTTTACTGAGAGACATATTAGTTCTTAAGTCTGCTGAGGACAAACAGCATGGTACAGGGGGAAATGCCCTGGATTTGGAATCTTGACTGATTGTTAGCTGGGTGAGGAAGTCACTTAATACATTGCGGTGGGCTTCAGCGGCTCATCTAGGAAATGAGGGGTCAGACAAGGCGATCTATAAAGTATCACTCAGCCCTAGTGCCCATGTGAGTCTTCTAGGGCTAATCCACCTGCCTGCGGCCCTGGGCTAATTCCCTCCTGCCTTTTTCTAGGACCTTCAAGTCTCTTCTCTCCTCTCATATTATCCCTCTCAACTGGCTCATTCCCATCTGTCTACAAATATGCTCTTCTCTCCTTAATCTTCCATTAAAAAAGAAACCCTTTTCCAAGGCCTTCTTCACCACCTACTACTCACATGCCATTCCCTACATGGCCCTACTAGACAAAGCTCTCTTTACTCTTGACTCTACATCCCTTCTTCCTCACCTCCTTGGAGTATGGCTTCTTCTTCCAGCACTCTACTCAAATAGCTTCTCAAAGATCCCCTTTGTAGTCTCCTAATTAACAGGGCAGCCAGGTGGCACAGTGGATAGAGCGCTGGGCCTAAAGTCAGGAAGACCTGGGTTCAAATCTGGCTTAAGACACTTACTAGCTGTGTGATCCTGGGCAAGTCACTTAACCCTGCTTGCCTGTTTCCCAACTGTAAAACTGGCTGGAGAAGGAAATGGCAAACCACTCTAGTCAGTGTCTTTACCAAGAGAAGCCCAACTGGGGTCATGGAAAGTCTGACTGAACAATGATCCCCTAATTGCCTCGTTAAATGGCCTTCATCTAGAGCTTCTTCTCCTTGATCTCTTTGTAACCCTAGACCCAGCTCCGCATTCTTGGATGCCGCCCCCACGCCCAGGTTTAGGAGGCCCTGCACTGGTCGAGTTGTCTTCTGATTTGACTGGTTCTTTTCTGCTCTTTTATTGCCCCTTTATCCTCCCTCAAAGACCTGCCCTTCTTACAATGTGGCTCTAACCTTCACGAAGCAGGGAGGCTATGATCAATCCCTCTATTTCTATCCAGTCCCAAACTGTCCAGATGACTCCTGCTTTGGAGCATAGCTTGAGATCTGGTATGGCTAGCTATAGCCTCCATGAAGAAAGAGGCTATGACGTAGCTAAACCTTCTGCCTCCCCTAGCTCAGCGGCAGTAGTCTGCATACCGCAGGTACTTCAAATGGCGGCTGAACTGAGTTAAGTTAATGTGCATCTTCTCACCGCCGGACAGCCGCAATTATTAGGATGTTCTTTCTTCTATGGAGCCAAGACCTCCCTTCCCATAACTTCCTCCCATTGTTCCTCGATAATGATGTTCTCAGGGGCCTGAATCTGTCCAATAGCTGAAGGCAGGGATCTTGTCTGGCCATACTCTCTACTCAATTTCATCCATTTTTAAAAACTGGTTTTACTTACCTCATTTTCATTCTCTTTTCCCTTTTCAGAGAAAAAGAGGACAGAGTGAGACTCTGGAAACCCAAATTTCTGATGATGAAAGAAAACAAAGGGACAGAACTCCTGAGGAAGCAGAAAGGTAATGGCTCACGTCTACCTGCACACCACGCTGGGTCTCACTCCTTCCAAAGGTCTTCTTGATGTAGCCTTGCAAATGGGCAAAAAGCAAAGTTCTATAATCAGATACCTGTCAAATGTGTTCCTTCATCAGGCTCTCTTTTTTTTTAGACTGTGTGAAGTCCCATGCTAGGCACCACGCACCAAGCATGAGGTGACAGAGCGGGGCAAAGTTTAGGTGAGGCACACTCCTTGCCCTCGTGGAATGGACAGTCTCAGAGACTAAGCAGAAAGCTATTAATGGATGAATTGCCGAGATTAAAGGAAATCATTTTTTTCCCTTTCTCCATTAGACCTTGAATGAAACTTTAAGAAAAGAGACTTAGTGAAGTTAATTAAATATTCATATTAAATGCCTACTATGTGTTGTCATTGGGAAAGAGGAACTATACATATTCTGACCTGGGAGCGGTGGGTGGAAGTCACAAAGAGGTACATTTAGGCTTGATTTGGGGGATTCAAAGGTAAGGAAGCCACTATGGATTTGGGGAAGAATGATTTCAGCAGAGCAGGGGAAGAGGACAATGGTTACAAGTCAAATTATAAAGAGCTAACAATTAGAGATGTTCAAAGGTAGAGTGGGCTGCTCGGAGATGTAGTGGGTGCCCTCCCAGCACGTGTCTCCAAGCACTCCGGATGAACGCTTACTTTTTGGCCAGGTTGTAGCTAGAATGCTCTTTGGGGAATGCGGTCCATTCCCACTCTGCTTCTGTGTAAGGCTTTATGGTGTGTGCTGGTAATGCAAGGACAGATGGGTGGACCCAGTGGTCACTGGGATTGGTCACTTCCCACTAGAAGATTCTTTGCTTCTGGGAGAGAAGCCTCCACGGAAGCGGTGGCCCTTGACATAAGTCTTTAAGTTGGGGGGGGGGATTTCAAAAAATGGAGAATAGGGGTGAGTCCACTCTGGCTCACAGTCAGGAGAAGTGAGAAGAGGGGAAAGGAATTATTCAGTTCATTTGGAATACAGAGTACACAAAGTTGTAAGAGATAAAGCTGGAAAGGTAAGTTAAGGCCAGACTCCATAAAAGGCAGTGCAGTATAATGGAAAAAACAAAATGAAACAAGAGACTTGGGTTCAGGAAGCCTCTGTCTGAATCACCACTCTGCCACAGAGGAGCAAAGGAATAAGAATTTAGAGCTGAAAGGAACCTTGTGAGATAATCTTCTTCAACCTCTTCTTTTACATATGGGGAAACTGAGAATCAGAGAGGACAAGTCATTTGCTCAATGTCACACAGTAAGTCGCCAAGACAAGATGTGAACTCAAGTCTTCTGAGTCCAAAGCTAACCTTCTCCCTGCCCTACTACTGTGGCCTGGGCAAAGTCACTTATAACCTCTCTGAGCCTCATCCTTAAATTAGGGAAAGGATACCTAAAATACCAACTTCATGGAATTGTTTTGAGCAAAGTGTTTATAAACTGTCCAGGGCTCCAAAATGTGGGCCGTTGTTTTTATCACCTTGTACACCACTACATTTATTTGTAGCAATGGGGAGCAAATGAAGATTCTTGAGTTGTAGAGGGATGCGATCAAATACCAAAGATGAAGATGACTCAGGCAGTTATGCTAGCCAGTCACCTGGCACTTTATTAAGCACCTGCTATGTGTACTGTTCTCAGCACTGAGGAGTCAAAGAAAGACAAAAACAAAACAAAGCAAAAAACAATTCCTACTTTCAAGGAGGTCACAGTCTAATGGGGGAGAAAACAAGCAAACTACTACGTACAAACAAGATGGACATGGGGTAAAGTGGACATAATCAGCAGAAGGAAGGCCCAAGAATTAAGGGGAATTGAGAAAGACTTCTTGTGAAAGATGTGATTTTAGCTGGGACTTGAATCTATGTTATTCAAAGTTCTGTGAAAGGCTAATTGGAGACAGGCATAGACTGGAATCAGGAAGACTCTTTAGAAGGCTATTGCTTTATCTAGAGGAGTAGGTGGGATGAGTCGGGGGCCCTGAACCAGAGGGGTTGTTTTCATAGTAGAAAAGGACCAGGTGTAAGAAATACTGAAGAGGGCAAATTAACCAGAGTGGGATTGTAAAGTGAGGAATGAGAAAGAGTCAAAGATGAGTCTGAGGGTATGAAACAGGATAATTGGGATGCTGGTGACACTACCATTAAGAGAAGTAAGGAAAAGGGGTGGTCTTGAAGGGCAGACGAAGGCTCCGTTTGGGACGTGTTGAATTTACAGTACCATTAGAATATTGTGAGATATTAAACAGGCTGAAGCTGGATATAGAGGTTTGAGCATCATCTCTATTTCTATGAAGGACAGACCCCAAAATAATTTAATTAATCCATAAGCATTTATTAGGTACCTACTATGTGCAAAAATGCATGGAAATACATGAGATTCCTAAGACACAGCACAGAGGGAAAAGACAAATCCTTGAGGAGCATCTACAAGAGGTGAACAAAGATGGAAAGAGGAGAAGCAAGGGAACTATCCCAGGGTAATGTCCAAAAGCCCAGGGGGTGGGGCAAGGGCTTTGAGAAGGAAGAAGAACAAAGTAGTCTAAATCATCAAATATTGCCCTGAGGTCCAGGAGATTGAAGAGAGGAATAAAGGCCCTGGGATTCAGAGGTAAGGAAGCCACTATGAATTTGGGGAAGAATGATTTCAGCAGAGCAGGGGAAGAGGACAATGGTTAAAAGTCAAATTATAAAGAGCTGAGAAGGGAGACGAGAATGTAAAGCTAATGACTGTGGACTTGGGCAGTAAAAGGAGAGAGGATAGTGTCTGGAGTGGTCACAAAGTTGAGAGGAATTTTTTTGGGGGTGGTGAGAACTTGGTATGCTTATAGGTTAGGGTAAAGGCTAGTGGGGTAGGGAGGGAGAGATTAAAGATTCAGGAGAAGGGCCAGAGGGTCCTCAGAGGTCATCGAGTCCATGACTGACCTGAGGCATCAATCCCCTCTAGAGCATCTGTGGGGGACAGAGCCAGGTAAAGGCATTGGTGTTCCCCAGGAAAGATTTGGAAACAGTGTCCCCCGAGTGTCTTAAACCTTCATGGTAACACACATGACTTGACATCACAAAATAAATACCTGCATATTGTGAAGGATGGAATTGTTTTTCTTTAGCATTAAAACACTTCTTTTGCTTTGTGCATTTCTAAAAGGCAGCATTGTGGGGTGGTAGATAAAGAGACAGACTTGGAGTCTGGAACACTTAGGTTCAAATTCCACTTAATTAAGCTGTATGACCCTGAGTTAGTCAGTTAACTTCTATGTTTCTCAGAAAACTCCCTAAAGTAGAAATTCTTAACCTTTTTTATTTCACAGACCCCTTAAGCAGTCTGGTGAAGCCCATGGACCTTGTTTCAGAACAATGTTGTTGTTTTTTTTTTAATTCATAGGAATACAAACAAAACCAATTACATTGAAATAAAGATCCCCAAATAGTTTAAAGACCAATTTAAGGACCACAGGTTAAGGGCCCTTGCCCTTGAGCCTATCTCCTAAATCCTAGATAAGTTGTGATTTCCACTGGTAGAAGGAACTTTCATACTAAGAGCTCCACATGCTGATTAATAAAACCATGCCTAAACTATACAGTCCAGTAATTCAGACTAAAGGATCATAATGTAATGTGTGATAAATGCAACTGAAACCAACTTTATTGATAAGATGTTAAAAAAAAGATTTAAATTCAAAATAAAGCATTTATCCCCTCTTCCTTCAAAGCTACCACAGCAAAGAGTCAGCCAGGTCAAAAAGGCATGCCTTAATGGGGTATAGAAATCTATCCTACCCTATAGGAAAATAGAAGTAGAAGGAGATAAGAGAAGGGGTGGGGAAGACAGAAGGGAGGGCAGGTTAGGGGAGGGATATTCAGAATACACTCCCATCTTGGGGTGGGGTAGGGACTAGATGGGGAGAAAATTTGGAAATCAAAATCTTGTGGAAGTGAATGTTGAAAACTAAAAATAAATAAATTAATAAATTTTAAAAAAAGACACGCCTTAGAGGGCAGCAAAAGCTCAACTGAAGCTTCTGACCCCAATTCTCATGTAGCTGGGTCTTTTTCTCCTGAAGGTGGTAAGACTGCCTCACTTCTCCCTCAAAGAATCAGCCCAGCAGGTCCTACAGCCTAGAGCCAGAGTGGGGCAGGGCAGGAGTGGGGCCCTGCTCCCACCTTCTCAGGGAATCAGCCTACTCCACTGTTGGACAGTTCTGCTAGCTAAGAAGCCTTTTCCTCTGTAGAGTCCAAATTCGTCTCCCAATAGCTTCCCTTCATTGCCTTCATTCTGTCCACTAAACCACAGAGAACAAATCTGTTAACCAAGAGAACAGCTATCCCATTTTCCCAGTCTCCTCTTTTCCAAGATAAGCATGCCCAGCACCTTCAGCAGATCCTCCACAGTACACAGGATGGAATCCCTTCCCCTCCCTACACTGGCTGCCATCTTGACGAGCTCCGCCTTGCAGGAATAACCAAAACCAAGCCCTCCTGTAAAGATAGTGCATTATCACTGACTAAGCATTTTCTTCCCCCAAACCCCAAAGACAGAACAAGCAAATTCTATATTCAAATTAAAATTCAAAATTAAATTCAATAACAATCTATTAAGTGCCTACTATATATTACGAACCGTACAATGCACTGGTCAAAAAAAAAAGACAAAAGCAAAACCATCCCTGTTCTCAAGAAGCCAGCATTCTGTTGGGGGAAAACATATATACAGATAAGTAAATTATCACATATAGACAAAGCACATACTAAGTGGGCAGCTGCGTGGCGCCATAGTGCATAAAGCGCCAAACTTGGAATCGGGAAGACATAGCCATGAGTTTAAATACAGTCTCAAACACTGTGTGACCCTGAGCAAGACGCTTCACCCTAATTGCCTCAGTTTCCTCATTGGTAAAATGACCTGGAGAAGGAAATGGCAAACCACTCCAGTATCTCTGCCAAGAAAACCCCACGTAGGGCATGGAGAGTCAAACACAAC